CTCTCCCTCGATTGCAAGGTACAGTGTTGCACTCTCTGCTCGGATGGATCCCAGGAATTCAAACCTTTTGCAAACCTTTTTCATTTCCATCAGAGAGAGTGCAGTCCCCAATCATTCACTTTGTCTAACAAAGGAGTTGATTCTGTCACTATGATTACCCACTCAAGTGAATTCTCAGACTACCCCAACATACCTAGGTTTTGACCCTCGCTAAGGATGTTACTAATTGGCATATTAAAGACAATCCAATTCAACACCCAATGTAGTACCATAATCAAGTCTAGGGATTAGGTGTAACTTTCCAGTTTTGCCCACCAGTCTCCATAGTCCAGGGCATAACTAGAAAATGGTTCAGGTTCAGTGCTTCAAGTAAATACACACTACATGTGCTTCGGGTCTCACCCTAGTAGCTGAGACAAGCTACCCCAACCGATTTGGCAGCACATTAGTGTCAGCCTTGGCAGAATAAACCTCCCCAAGTCTATCCAACGGCTATGAACATTCTAAACTAACATGAGTCTCATAAGTGTTCAGTTTAAGGGTAATTACACAGAAACAAACCAGATATAATACGAATCAATTATGTTTATGTACTTTTATTCATTTACAATAAATGTTTAACGCACATCAATCTGATTGGAGCTAAGGGCATACACTGTCTACCAAACCCCACCACAATCCCCTTGTCATTTCTTATTGCTCCTCCAATTCCAGACATACTTGGCTTACCAAAGCTACTCCCATCAAAGTTTAATTTAAGGAAACCAGACTCATGTGTTCCTACTTTCTTAAAGTGGAATCATAAACATGGTAGAAAACAAAGTGTTATTTATCAAATTTTGATTGGTCAAAACTCTTTCCATACCATATTTTTTACCCTTTTGGAAATATGTTTTTGTGACACAATCCCAAATCTCCTTGGTTAAATCAATTAAGAGGTAATGCTAACTTACGTATAAGGGTGGATTCGAGCTGAGCCGAGCTAAATAGTATGAGGCTCGAGCTCAGTTCGCCAAGGTAGTACAAGGCTCGAGCTCAAGCTCGAGCTTAGCTCGAGTCAAAAACACATAAGCTCGAGCTTGACTTAAGAAAAATGTTTTAAAAAAAAAATATATATATATATATAAAAATATTTTTTATTTAATATTTAAAAAATTAAGAATTATAATAATTAGTTATTATTATATATAAAAATAAAAATATTATATATAATATTCGTATTATATATATTAAGAAAAATGTTTTATTATTATTATTATTATTATTATTATTATTATTATTATTATTATTATTATTATTATTATTATTATTATTATTATATAATATTTTTTATTATATATATTATTATTATTAGGGGTGATCATGGGCCAGGTCAGGCCTAACCTAACCTAGAGTTTCGAGCTTGAAACATTAGCCCAAACCCAGGTCTACACGAGCCCGAGATAGGCTTGATTTCGTGCCTATGTCTTGCATATATAAAACATTACATAATTATAATATTGTATATTAAGTGACATAAAACATGCATATAAACTTATTTTATACATTATATTATATAATATAAATTAAATGTGTCATATTATAATATTTTAATATAAAATATATATACATAATACAATATAAAATAGCATGTGTACATATATATACATTATACATAAAATGTGTATATTTAAATACATGCAGGTCAAGCTTGAAGTATTAGGCCCTAGCCCAGCCCTAAAATTTGTGGGCTTGATGTGGGCCTGAACATAAAACCTAAGCCCAAGCCCAGAATTTCCAAGCCAGGCTTGTGCAGGCCTAGCCAGGCTAAAACAATCACCCCTACTTCTTACTACCTATTAGATATCCCAACTTGCCTTTGCTACGAACATGAATCTATATAGATTGTGCCAAGCCAAGTAATTTTTTTCATCAAACTTGATCGTAATCACAATATTCAGCAAAGGTTCTACAAACCCTATCAAACCAGCCCCAAACTCTAGGTTCAACTTTGTCTTGGCTCCAATCTGTTCCATTGATCAAATGAAAATCATAATGTGGTATTATTGACCTAGAAAGACTAACCTATAGTTGATCCCACACTAAAATCACAAAAATCCAAATTTCCACTAAACCCTACAACCCAAGAGAATTGGGAGAATTGTAGTCGCTCCAACCAGTGGCTCCAAAAACCTTCCCAACTGCGATCCATCTTCTCTAGTAGTCAATAGCATCTGCCAAGCCCTGACCACCAACTTAACTCAGCCTCCTTGGCCCTTATCAACATTTCTCTCTAGTTAGCTAGGGTTTTGAGCAAGAGAAAAAACAGCAATTTCTTGGCATTCCAATAGCCAGATTCTAGACCTCCAAACCCTTCTCCAACTAAGCAGCAATCAATTAAAAACAAGCAGCAATCTGACTCTCCACAAGATTCTAAATATTAATACAAGCCAATACGTTGGATGGAACTAATCTACCTGTATCTTTGACCACTTTTTTTTTTAGTTTTGTTTCAAATCTATTCGGGGGGGAGGGGGTATAAGGCATGTCTACCCTCTAAAACAGGCCAACCCCCAAAACCCAACCTAAAGTGTCATATTGGTGGGTCACCAATATGATACAAATCAATCAATACAAGCTGATAAGTTGCAGAATTTGAATCCTTGACTCTCCATACACTCTTCCAATCAAAAGGGTGTATGGGATTGAATAGAAAGAATGAAGAGAAAAAGGTTGCTTTGATACCAAAATGTAAATCAACCCAAAAGAAAAAGATATTTCAATTTAAAAAGTGGAAGTGAAGAAGATAGAAAAAATCAAGAGGAAGAAGATGACGAGAGAATCCTTTTCTTGTGCTTTGTTTTTTGATACTTTAATTCAGCCTCTTGTTCCTCTTGGATTGTCCTTCCCTATTAAAGAGATTTGGAATAAACCCATTCCTCCTCGGGTTGATAGTTTTTGTTGGGAAACTTTCTTAGAAAGAATCAACACAAATAACTTACTTTAGACAGTGGGAAAACGGGTTACCACCTTATGGTTACTTGTCTATTTACTAAAATTGTTTGGGAGTGGGTTTTTTCCCTTTTTGGATGTACTTGGATTCCCCCCGTGAGTGTGCAAAGCTTGTTCTCTTCTTCGTTCTTTAGACGGCCTAAGAAAAGAGGGAAGGTTATGTGAAGAAGCATTAGGGCAGTAGTGTGCTGATCCATTTGGAAAGAGAGAAACTCACGAATCTTTTCAAACAAGGAAAGAACCACAGAAAACTTACTAAAATTGATACACTTAAGGGTAGCTCACTGGCTGAAATCTATGAAGCTATTCTCAGAATTTTCCATAGCCAACTTATTGAGAAAGTGGAAAGAGATAGCTACCTTTGCCATTGTAAGAGGACTTCTAGGGAGAAAGTGGAAAGAGATAGGTACCTCTGCCATTGTAAGAGGACTTGTAGGCCCTCTTNGGCTGACTTGTTAAGAAATTGGAAAGAGATATCTACCTCTGCCCAATGTAAGAGGACTCTTAGCCCCTCTTGGTCCTCCCCTCCCTCTAGATTCATAAAACTGAAATTTGAAGGTAGTAGATTAAGGAATCCAGGGCCTTCTAGGATTGGAGGCCAGGAATGAGGATGGGATTATTACTATTATGTTATCAGATCCAATTGGAGAGTGACTCTCTTAGGGTTGAGATTCTAGCAGCTCTAGAAGGAATCCAAAGAGCAACAGAATTAAACATCAGATGCTTGGTTCTTGAAGGGGACTAGGAAGTGGTGATTAGGTGACTGAAATGAAACAACAATGGCTTGTGAAGCTACAACAATGAAAAGAAAAAAATTTAAATGGCTGACTAGGGATATTGAGGTGAAGTACAACTGGGTGAAGAAAAGTGCTAATTCAACGGCTGATGGATTAGCTAAGCAAGGGGCGATTAAGGAATCTCTGTTTTGAGCTGATTTTTAGCTTCTTTCTTTGTCCTTTTGTTGTTGGGGAGTAAAGATAGTTTACCTCCCCCTTTCTATAATTATGTTTCACAAATCTCATTCATTAATAAAGCTTAATGTTATTGATAAAAAAAAAAAAGAAGATGGTGAGAGAACGGAAAAGGAGAAGAGACTTCGATCAATTCCCTCTCCTATCTCCTAATTACTTTTATTAATCTAATCTCCAAAGAAATTATTACAAAGATGTCCTTAATGTGACGACCAGCTAAAAACATAACATAAAAGAATAAATAAACTATTAATAGACCCATATAGACAAGGCCCATTAATATAAACATAACAAATAAAAAGACACTAAAGCCCATTCGGCCCAATCTCTCTACACTTCTAACATGTATTAGCAGTCTCCTATTAATACGCCCAAGAGAAAGTGTAGTAAATTTACGATGCGAGACAAGGTAAAAAGAGAAAACAAAGAATTATGAACGGAAACCCATAATCCCCCAATCCTAGTGACAGCAGGATTTCATCCCAAATCTTGGCTACAACTAGACCCAGTTAGTGGGTTAGTTGGGTTAGTGAGAGGGTGCAAACAGGTCCAATTAGCACAATATGGCGAACCTACCTTTTTGTAGTTTGAACCTGTGCATACATGGATGCCTTCAGTTAACGTGTGGATGACCAATTTCAGACCTGACAATACCATATTTATGCAAAGCTAACCTTAAACAAGAGAGTTAGATGTACATAAGTGGGCAATTTGAATTTAAAATTTTACTACGGCTTAAGAAGGGGAGTTAACGTGTAAATGGGAGAGTTTATAAAAGATTTTAAAAGTAAATGTTTAGAAAATTAATTAGGGGTGTTGCTTAAGCATGTTTTCTAATTATTTAGTTAATCATGCTTATAGGATAGAGTTACATCTCTCAAAAGAATAAGATAAGAGTTAACAGCGTTAACTACGAGTGAGATGATATGGATGGAATGACACAGAAATTGGGACTACTACAGCTATGCTACACGCCGATTGCCGAAACCCTGAAAAACCTATACGATATTCCATGTATCAAACATAACTATACTTTAAGTCTTCACAAATGAGAGAATTCTCATTATTTCTTAGGTTCACCAAATTTCATCAAGTATGATCTCCCGGTCACATTTTCTTCCACCAAGAGAGTTTTATGGAACATTTTGAACCCTGAATTTTGGAGAATCATCAATAAGAGCACTCCCCTATTCCGAAAGTGGAAGAGAAAAAAAAGACATCACTGTTTAAGAACATCATATTGAGAAGAATAATCACTTGATGAAATGAAATAATCAAATTATTTGTACGCAATCCACCTGCAAACCTGCAATGCAACCATGGTGTCCTATGTTCAAGGTCAGCATATCCACAAAGAAAGTGTTTTATACATTTAACCAATAGCAAGATGACCTTGATAAGTTTGTATATTCTACAGCAGTCATTTTTTACATCAAAAAGAAAAAAAACTATGGCGGATCACTATGAATTTTATTAGTTTGCTTAAATGTCCTCTATAACAATAACCGAGTCCATCTCTACAATCAATCTTTCTCATGTTACATGCATGCACTTTCTCACTGAAGTTTTCTGGCAATTTTACCAGTATATATCTCAACAATCAAAGTATGATAATAGAAATAGCATTATATGCTTAACTAAGAAAATGTTTGGTGGTGTCCAGAAACCACATTGATATTTTCTTTTACAAATCAGGGAAAAAAAAACAAACTCAGATTGAAGCCATTTTAGGATTTCAAGACAGGAACTCCTTTATATTTTTTCTGTTACATGGAAACTAGCCCGATGACTCCCACATTAATGATGTATGTAATTTGTGGTAAAATGCTAGGAAAAACAGAATGACTCGCTAGACCTCGGGGCACAAATTGCTTCCCCCTTACTGAGCTTTGTGCACAAGTTGCACAAGATTTCCACCTCAGCCCCGGTGGACTCGCTACTTGCATCAAGCAAGCTACCAGTGCTAACGCTAGACATCGTGAACTGAAGGAAAAGAAACGGATAAGGAACAAAGGTGCTTACCTAAAAGGAGAGGAAGGAACAATTCCTTTATGCTTGCATCAAGCAAGTTATCAATGCACAGATTCCTTTATGCTTTTACTGTTTTGTGGCAACACCATTTTTTTGTAGTAGAATTCTTTACTATTTTTTTCTACTTGTAGTATTATGTATATATATATATATATATATATATATATATTGTTTTATATTTAATTTTGTAAACTTATGCTAATTTTATACAAATTTACTAATATTTCTAATCGAATTGGTTTCGATTGGATATCCAGGTATGTAAACGAATTGAATTCGAATTACATACGAGTTGGATAGCTGATCGAATTTAAATATCCTAGATTCTTATCAGATTGGATTCAGATATACCTCTATCCAAATTTGATTCAATCGCCCTTTCAGTCCTCACCCTTTGGGCCAGGTATGTTTGTCAATTAAATTTTGGGTATTAATGAGGATTCTTTGCCGGGAACAGGTATTCCAGCGTCCCAACTTGAAGGAATGGCCACTAGAGGAATCTCTAAGAAAGTGGGAAGTGGTTGTCTAGGGGGAGGGGAGTTTTACCATTGGAAAAGAAGCAAGAGGAATTACAGAGAATCTGGGGTCAAATCTGCAATATACTTGAGTATGAACAGCAAGAGGAATTAATGGTGGAAAACTCTAAACAGACCAAGGAAGTTACAGATCTTTCGGAGGGCCCACCCAAATTTAGGGTGAAGGAAGGGGAAAGAGACAATATGGTTAAGGGTTGTGAAAAGGAAGAAGAGGATTTATCTTCCAAAAAGGAGCAAGAGGAGGAATTAGAGAGGATAATGGGAACTAATATGTGCTCTCCTTGAGGAGTACAAGAAGAAAGATATTTCTTTGGAGGAAAGTGCAAAAAAAGCCAAGAAAAATAAAAGTGCCTAGGGAGCATCAAGGAAAACCTAGGGTAGAAAACAGATGGAGGAAAAAGAAAAGAACCGAAGTGGAAAGATTGATCTCAGACATCAAAAAGAATATCAAGTTAACTGGGAGAGGGGAGAGAAGGAAGAATTTCAAGTAATGGGTGACAACTCTAGGTGGGCTCTCAAACAATTGCTATTATGAAAATTATTAGCTAGAATGTGAGGGGTTTAGGCAGCGCAAGGAAGAAAAGGCTAATTAAGGACCTCCTTAGAAGAGAAAGGCCTGACATTGTGATAATACAGGAGACAAATTAGCTGAAATTGACAGAAGGTGGGCGAGAAGTGTTGGAAGACTAGAGGGGTAAGATGGGTTTCTAAGCCTTCTTGGGGGGCTTCAGGGGGTATAGTCACTTTTTGGAGAGAAGATATTGTGGAGACCGTGGAGGAGTTAATAGGTAATTTTTCGGTGTCTCTAAAGTTTAGGATGGTGGAGGATGGTTTCACATAGGTGTTAACCAATGTATACAGGCCAAACAGCTATAGAGAGAGATGAGTTAAAGGAGATTCCCCTTTTGCAAGCTCAATTAACTTGGTCCAACTTCCAGGAAGTTCCAACTTGCTCAAAGTAGGATAGATTTCTCTTTAATGAGAATTGGGAAAGTCACTAGCAAGGTTTGTTTGCCAAAGCTTTGCCCAGAGTCACCTCCAACCATTGCCCTATTGAAATAGGTTAGGAACCTTTTAGCCATGGACCTAGACCTTTTAGATTTGAAAATATGTGGTTGACACATCCAGATTTTGTGAACAAGGTTGAGAAGTGGTGGAGAGAAGAAATGAGGGGGTTGAGATGGAAAGGGATGAAATTCCACAAGAAGTTGAAAAGATTGAGAGCAAAATTAAAAGAATGGAACAGGGATCAATTTGGGAGATTAGAGGAATTAAAAGCTAATATAGTGACCCAAATTGAGGAAGTAGATGTGAAGGACTCTCAAAATACCTTGAATGAACAGGAAAAGGGGTCAAGAAGAAGATTGAAGCAGGAACTAGAAGAGGTCCTGTTGCGGGAAAAATCTCTTGGAGGCAAAAATCCAGGTTAAATGGATTAATGAAGGCAATGGGAACACCAATTCTTCCATGAAGTGGCTAATGGGAGAAGGAGAAAAAACTTGGTGAGTAAGCTGGAAGTGGATCGTGTAGAAGTTAAATCTCATTATGAGATAGCTAGATGTTTTGTAGGTCACTTCAAATCTATCCTAAGGAGGCCTCTAGAAAGTAGAGAGGATTTGGAAGTGTTGGATAGGCCAGAACTTTCTAAAATGAATAACAGCTGGTTAGAAAGGAATTTTGAGGAGGAAATTAGGCATGCAGTGTTTTCAATGGATAGATCTAAGGCACCAGGGCTAAATGGCTTCACTATGGCTTTTTATCAAGATTGTTGGAATAGAGTGAAAAAGGATTTGCTTGAGGTTTTTAAAGAATTGGAGGATAATTGTGTCGTTAGCCCTAGAGTTAATGCTACTTTTCTTGTTATGATTCCAAAGAAGAAAAATGCTACACACCCTAAAGACTTTAGGCAATCAAGGCTTTGTCTGCAAGCTAGACTTGGAGAAGGCATATGATTTAGTGGATTGGAGTTTCTTGTTAGAGGTTTTACAGAAGTGTGGTTTTGGGAACAGGTGGTGTAATTGGATTGTTGGTTACCTTCTTACCATTACTCAATTTTGGTAAATGGAGTAGTAAATGACTTCTTTCCAGCTTGTAGGGGACTAAGACAAGGTGACCCACTCTCCCCTTTCTTGTTCACATTAATTGTTGATGTGCTGAGTCGACTTTTATCTGAAGCAAACAAGACTGGGTCAATAAAGGGGTGAAGAATAGTAAGAGATCAAGTTCCGATCACCCACCTCCAGTTTGCAAATGATATAATAATCTTTTGTGAGGGGGTGACTTGACGAGAGTGAGACATCTAAAGAGTCTTTCATAGTTTTCAAGGCTCCAAGGCGAGGCTAGGAAACAGGGGGGTGCCTTGTCGCCTAGTCGCTTAGGCGAGCACCTAGGTGTCGCCTAGGCGATGGATTTTTTTAAGTGAAAAATGCATATCCTAGGTAGTTCCCTAGGTTCCATAACCATCTTTCCTTAATAACTATCCATACTTTTCATAAGAAAATTATAAACTTCATGTTTATGTCTAGAAAATCAACATATTTATGAGAAGAAAAATAAGAAAGAAAAGAAAATTCAATAAATATGGGGACTGAACCCCTATTTTTGTTATAGGAAAAGAAGAAAAGAAAAGGTGGAAGAAGAAGAAGAAGATGTGGAGGAAGAAATGTGTTGATTAGACAAAACTTTAAGTTTTTACCTTACTTATTGGTTCAAATTCTRAAGTCTTTGAGGGTTCAATACAGATGTTAGCAATGTTTGTGTTGATTAAACCCTAACAAATAAGAAAAAAAATAAAAAGAAATTAGTTTATAAACACAAAAATGAATATTTTTGTTTAATAATGTCTATTTTATAATTATAATCTCAAAAAAGTTCCAAGGGCGCCTTGTCGCCTAGGCGTCGCCTTGACAACTATGGAGTCTTTTAACTCTTTCTAGGAATGCCTTTAACCTAAAGATTAATTTTGAGAAGAGCTGTGTGGTAGGATTAAATTTGGAAGGTAGGGAGGTGGAAGTTGTTGTGGAGTGCTTAGAATGTCCCATCTCAGAGTGGCCCTTAACCTATTTAGGTCTTCCACTAGGTGCTAACCCAAAGGAGAGTCATTTTTGGAACCCTATTGTAGAAAAGTTTGAAAAAAGGTTGGAACTTGGAAAAGGAATTATGTTTCTCTAGGGAGTAGAGTAACTTTAATCAAGGCTACGCTTGCCAATCTGTCGATTTATTTCTTGTCTATCTTTAGAATTCCTTCTAGGGAAGCTATGAAGAAAAAAAAAAACTAAGGGTTTTCCAGTGGGAGCTAGGGGAGGAGAAAAAGGATCACTTGATCAGGTGGGAGGTAGTTAGCCGAAGTAAGGAAGAAGGGGGACTAGGGTTGGGGAACCTAGCTTATAAGAATGAAGCTCTTCTAGACAAATTGTCATGGAGATGACCTTTAGAAAGAGAGAGATTGTGGCATGAGGTGGTGGCTAGCATCTATGGTTGTTCTAAAAGTGGTTGATACGTTGGGGTATCTTGATGGGCTACTCTTACAACACCCTGGAAGGCAATCTCTGCCATTCTCCCAAATTTCCTCAAGTTTGTAAGGTATGATGTCTGCTTTGGTAATTCTATTCTTTTTTGGGAAGATACTTGGGTGGGTAACCAACCTCTCAAAGACCTATTTCCCTCCCTTTATTCCAAATCTCTCTTTAAAAAGGAGCTAGTCTCCAGGTTCCTGTCCTCCCTTTGTCCTTAAACTAGGATTTTGGCTTTCATAGAGGGTTGAGGGAAGAGCGGTCTGCTTGTATAGCTGAGCTGTTACTCCTTGACTCTATTTGTTTAGACCCTCTTAATCCTAACAGAAGAATTTGAACCTTAACTCCGAGTGGCTCCTTCTCTTGTGCCTCTTTCTTCAAGTCCCTCAGCTCCACTTCCTCCTTGTGGGTGTTTCCAATTAAAGAAATTTGGTCTAGGCCCATCCCCCCTAAAATAATGGTTTTCTTCTGAGAAATTTATCATGGTAAGATTAATTTAACTTTGGACAACTCGCAAAAACAGAAACCTTTTATGTGCTTGTCCCCAAACTGGTGCACTCTTTGTAAAATGCAGAGGACTGTTCTCATCTGATGATATCTTGCTCCTTCGTTGCAGCTATTTGGAATTGGATTTTCTTGTTGTTTGGGTGCAGGTGGAACTTGCCATCCAATGTGAATTTTCTCTTCGATCCGTCCATCTTTGGTTGACCCATGAAGAGGGGGAAATTAATGTGGAAATGTGCTAGAACAGCTTTGTTATAGGACTATTTGGGAGGAAAGAAATGCCAGAATATTTCAAGGAAACCAAAGGAGTCTTGCTGAAGTAAAAGAGTGTATCTTGACAAGGGAAACCCTTTGGCTGAAAACTTCAGCACTTTTTGAGAATTACTCTCATGATGATCTCAGGAGAAACTGGGCACAAGTGGCTTCTACATCTTCTCGAAAGATTAGAAATTTAGAATACAAGCTAGCTGGATACCCCCTCCAGAGGGCGCTATGAAATTGAACTTTGATGGGAGTAGTCAAGGGAACCCAGGACCTTTAGGCATAGGAGGAGTTTTGAGAGATAAGGATAGCAACATTCTTTCCTTGTACTTGGGATAAGTGGGAGTTGGAGACTCTACAAGGGCTGAGATACTAGCAGCAGTACAAGGAATATAGCTTGCCAACCAACACAGAGTGGAGAATTTGGTAATTGAGGGAGATTCCAAGGTAGTTGTGGGTTGGTTGGCAAACCCAAATACTGTTAATTGGGGTTATAGGGATCTCCTAAAAAGAGTTAATTGGCTTACAAGAAACATGTCAGTTCATTTTCAGTGGGTTAGCAGATCAGAAAATGTTTTGGCTGATTCTCTTGCTAAACAAGGGGTCTCAAGGGTTTCTTTGTACTGGGCAACTTTGTAAACTGGTTTCTGTTTAGTGTGAGTTTTGTGCTTTCATCCTTAAAGAAGAGGTCGCATCTTGTGCCTCTTCATAGGCTGTTTGTATGCTCACTGTTTCACTATTAATAACAATTTCATTCATTTATCAACAAAAAATGACAGTCTTCTTGGTGTGCATGGCACTTCTCCTCTTACATAAAATTTTCTAGAATATATAATAAATTTGACTCTTACTAGATTAAAAAACAAAGCTTTGTTCTTACCAATAAAAAATTAAATAATAAAGCAAACAAACAAACAAACAAAAAGAAAAGAAAAGAAAATTGCCACATACAATCTTTCCATGATCAGAGTTTATTTCTTTGCTAATTAACTATGACCACCAAGTACAATCAAGGGGATTGGTCCAATATAAATAACTTTGTCTGTGGTGTCAAGAACACAGATGGTGTCTTTCAAGGGCAAAAAATTGGTTACATAATCATTGAAATGTTTAGAGAACCTAATCTGAAGAGAAACACCAAGTACAATCAAGGGGATTGGTCCAATATAAATAACTTCGTCTGTGGTGTCAAGAACACAGATGGTGTCTTTCAAGGGCAAAAAATTGGTTACATAATCATTGAAATGTTTAGAGAACCTAATCTGAAGAGAAAATTACTGAAAATGAATGCCCCAAACAATACTACATACCAGATATAATGTCTGAGAAATACTTGTTCAGACGCTGCAAATGGCTCTTATCCCCATGCCATGGAGCAAGCATAATTGACCACCAGTTTCCCATCAAACCCAAAATTCTGTAATTTCAAAGGAGCAACAATCATGATAATGTATATCCAAGACATCAGTGACATAAGGTAGGACAAAGAGCAATTATCCATGACTAAACTCAAGTTGATCAGAATTCAGAAGTACATTCTAGAAGAGAATTGAATTTTCATGCCTTTGATTTAATGAAAATGTGATATTTAATCTAGCAAAATGTTATGGACGCATTCGTGGGGAAGAAGTACCGCTGCCGGCAGCAGCAGTAACGTGGGACCCTCATCAGATTATCTAGCTAGCCACAGTTCATCTTACCTTATCTTTATCTTATTTGCTTTCTTACTCTTATCTTATCTGTTCCAATAAGGATTAGTATAGAGTCTGATTTATCTTAGGGAGTTTTTATCCTTCTTGAGTAGGGAGTCTTATCTAGGAGTCTTTTCTATCTTATCTGTAAGCAGTTTAGTTAGTCTTATCTATCTTATCTGTAAGCAGTTTAGTTAGTCTTATCTAGGAGTCTTATCTATCTTATCTGTAAGCAGTTTAGTTATCAAGGAGTCTTCCTACAAGGAGGACTCTTAYCTCTTGTAATCTCCTATTTAAGGAGCTGAAATTATTGAATAAAGATATCAAATTTCCAGTCAAGAAAGAGAGTAAAAGGAGAGTTCGGTGATCTCTTGGACAAATCACCCTCTAGGACGCTAAGATAGGTTCAGCTAGGAAGGGGAGGAACAAGGGAAAACAGGAGCTTTTCCCCGTGGACCGACCCGTGACGAGATCCTATTCCCGGGCCCATAACACAAAAAAAAGAGGAAATTGAATTTTCATTAGTACCAAAGCCATCACATGCTCAAAAATAGAGTAATGTTGTATCTAACATTATTTTTGTAAGGGATGCAAAATGTATACTAAACCTATATCAGCCCAGAAGAATTCAAAAGCCCATTGTAAACCACACTTTGCACTTTATAATCTATTTCCAAATTCCTGCACCACATCATTCTTCCTCTTTAAAACAATGACATGGCATTCCCTTTCATGGCAGCATTGCATCCATTGCTTCCACCATAGTCTCTCTGTAACTCTAGCTCAACTCTCAATTGTGTCTCTTTCTATCTGCAACTCCACCACAAATCTTGCACCATTAGAATCTGACACCATTGACGATCACCTATCCACTATTAACCCTATAGATAGGGAGTCTAGGATTTCTAAAGTACTTGCCACTGAAATGCCTGTGAGCTCCATGAAAGATTTCAGCTCTTCACTTGAGTTCAAAAATCCACCACAAAATACAAGACTAGCTTTTTGCACTAGGATGTAAAACAAAGAATCTCCACTAAACGGGCATCTTCGCCTAGCCACTTCAGCAACCTAGACAAAACTAACTGCTACTGAATATCAATCAGTACCCAGGCCTCTGTAAATTATGTTGAACTCACAAAAACCAAAGTCACATTAAGTAATTTTTGGCACTTAAATCATTTCCTTCTACTTCTACCCATGTCTTTTTTGGTCTACCCCTAGCCCTTCTAGTCCCTTCAACTTGAACAAATGACTTCTGCTTATGGGTGCTGTCAATGGTCTTCTTTGCATATGAATAAAGCATTTGAGTCTACTTTCTCTCATTTTATCACCTATTGGAGCTACTCCAAAGTTCCTATAAATGACCCCATTTCTGATCTTATCCTTCCTATTTTTTTCACTCATACATATCAGCATATTCATTTCTGCCACAATCGTTTTTTTGGACATGCTTCTTGATTCCCAAACACTCTACCCAATAAAACATAGCTGGCCTTACAACTATTTTACAGAATTTTCCTTTTATTCTAAATGGTACTCACCTATCACATAAAACTCTGGATGCACCCCTCCATTTTACCCATCCTGATCTAATTATATGGGCAACATCCTCCTCAATCTCTCCCTGGTCATGAATTATTGAATCAAGGTACCAAAAAAGGTCACATTGAGTTATCTTTTGGTCTCCAATCCTAAGTATACCCCAATCTGGATTCCTATTAATATTAAATTTACATATCATATATTCTGTTTTAGTTTTATTTTAAAACCTCTTGTTTTTAGGGAATTTGTCCATAAGCTTAATTTTGCATTTAATCTTTCATTAGTTTCTTTAATTAAAACTATGGCATTAGCAAATAACATGCAACATGGGATCCACAAGATCAAAATATCATAAGAAAAAGAAATTATGTAACAGTATTTTCTGACAAGGGGCTTTGCTCTTCTGTGGGTCAAGAGAGAGGCAAGTGCAAACACCTCCACAGATTGAAGCAACATTCTTCAGGTCTGCTCACTGCTTTCCAAGTAGTGGTGTCTCTCCCTAAAATCCGTTATTTCTATTTGTGACAAGCCCCTTCCTAACTTGTACTGGATGATCATTCACTTTCAAGTCACAGAATACAGATCCATTACGGTAACCTTAGGGCCCGTTTGGTGCATCTTTTCATGCTGTCTTTCGTCTGTTTACAAGCCAGGAAGACCGATTTTCGGTCTATTTCTGTTTGGTTTGTGGAAGATCTACCCACCAAAAGACGGAGCACTGAAAAGACGCGAGAAGCCCATTTGGGCTGGTTTCAGGAAGCTTCAAATGAAGCTTTTCGCATCTTTCATGTTTTATTCTCACACGGAAAGATAGGGAAAAATGCACGGAAAGACGTGCGTCTACCAAACTAGCTTCAGGCTGCTCAGATCTTCATGCAAAAGCTCAATGTGTCTTTTGACTGTCAGAGCTACCAAAAGATCTTCCCAAAAAGACTTTCCAAACGGGCCCTTAATCTAGATCATAGAATAAAGCTAAAAGAAGTGGGCCTGACTTTTTTTTCTTTTTTTTTTTTGATAGATAAAGGTTATTTTATTAATAAAAGCACAAAGGATACATATTATATAATCCCCACAAAGAGGCGCAAGATGCCACCTCTAAACTATGATTCCCGTACCCTAGAGTGATTCTAGGCACCTCATGAGTAATTTCGGGGTCATGGATCAGGGTGAGGTGGGGACTTCACTCCCCATCCCCGTCCCTATCCCCAATCAGGTATCAAAACAATTCCCCATCCCCACCAGAAAAGCTTCATCCCCAACCCGATCGGGTTGGAGAGGACAGGTAACCAGCAAGGATGGAGAAAATTGCCATTTTTTCTTGCAATTTTTCAGTTTTTTTCTCATCATGGGTGGTCTGAAACAGGGGCTCTGCCCCCTTCTTTTCGTCATTTTTTCTTTTATTTGAGTACTTTTCCCCAACTTTTCTTGGTCTAAAGCAGGGGCTCCATCTCCCTATTTTCTTCTTCAGTTCTTTTTTTCTTGTTTTGGTCTAAAACAGGGGTCATGCCCCCTTCAGTTGCTCTTTTAAGTTCTAGCTTCTAACTCTAATATTTTGTTTTGCATACTTGAAACAAGACTGCACGAACCACAAGCACAAAAGTTTGTTTCGAGATTTGTAGGTTAATGTATAAAACCAAAAAACTAGTTCAGGAGGGATAGAAATCTGTAGGCTTCTTATTTTAGATTCCATTGCCTAGGCAAGGCCTAGGCACCTAAGTGCCCCATGTTCATTGAGCCTCGCCTTGGTGCCTTGAAAACTATGGAAACTACAATACTACATGCATTATATATGTCCAAGAATCTACATTACGTATATTGATAGCTGACTCCATAAGATTTGTTCAGTTGAGTTGACAACTTACATTATATAGGTCGATCACCAATTCATCAGGGTTAGGTGAAAAGGCACTATTTACATACACAAACTGTAAAGTGAAAAAAAAAAAGTTGATCAATATTCTCATAGCCAGAATAGATAAGAACATTATGATAAATCTATATCTATACTACTAATAAAAGAGCAAATAGCCCCATTTTCTGGACTTTTCATTAGACATTTTTACCCCTTATCTAAGCAATGTACAATGGGCATAAGAAAGGGCATATATGTCCTTTACTCTCACTCCAAAAACTGCTCACTTATAACCATCAAGAAACTGCCCACTTATAACTGTTTAAAAACTGTCCACTTATAACAGTTAAGAAACTGCCCACTTATAATTGTTCAAAAACTACCCATGAATTGTAAATAGTTTTGTCTTGGAGATACTGTCACGTGCAAATGCACATACATGTTTACTAGTAATCTTTAGAAAAGCATTTACCAATGTGTCCCTGTGAAGTTGCCGCCGCAGAAAGTCAATTACTTTGGCAAATTTGTCTGTTCCAGCTATCTGCCAATTTAAGAACATTTATTATACAAATACAACACTTATGAATGACTATTTAACAAACATAAAAGCAACTCTTAGCAGATATCAAAGGACACGGCTGGACATAGCATTGGTTACAAAATTTGCACTAAAAATTGAAGTTTCTGAAATGATATGGTACCCGTGTACTGGTATCCATGTATCATTCTACAACTACCAGAAAAATACATTAGCTTTTCTCAAGTTTGGAACATACCAATATAGGCAGTGAAGTGAGAGGCCCAACGTAACAACTAACAACAAATCGAAGCTGTGTGGAAGAAAACATATGGTGGGTTGGTCTATATGACTCATTAGATATCAAATAGGAACATAGAGAAAAAGGTAGGAACACAAGATAATACAGACCCGTTGCAACAATTTCTGATGAGACCAGCTGTCTTAGACGGTGAATGCCCTCACTATGAACTACTGATTAAGAGATTGAGACTGGTTGTCCTAGATAATGGATAGTTTGATGTATTTCATTGATAATGTAATAAAACAGGTTGCCCTGCACAATGAGACTCTCATAGTAGTAAGATTAATGGGTTGATCATGCCATGTCTCGACTCCTCACTAAGGTGGCAACTCTTCCATAAAGACATAAAATGTATGAAAAAGACAGAGTTACCAGTTTCATAGAAATGTGAATTTAAGTGTCTGATTTTCTGGGAATTACGCTCATATTGATGGGAGAAATGCAGACTTGAGGCATTGGTAGACAAATACGGTTTGCAAGGAGAAGGCTGTCAACCAACCCATGAGCTTAGTTGGTAGGACTAGGTGAGTGATACAAAGACTAGGATAGTACTGGTACATGGTACATCCAGTAAAAAGAAGTTCTATGTATAATGCTTTGTATGCAGAAATGGTGTGAATTGGGCACAATTGAAACTAGCATGTAATTGGTATTTGTTTGAGTGCATTTTAGTTGTTGTATACACAACAAAATGGTTTTCTACAAAATTTAGTAGCCTTTGGAGCTGGTTTTCAGCACTTCTCTGAAATGATCACAAAAAAAAAACAGTTCTGTGGAATCCCCAAAAAATTGGAATGCTTGAGACAGGTATGAAGGCACTAACCTTTTTTTTTGCTCCATGGGGTAGCCCATCCCTCAAATCCATGACTCCCCCAACCCTGGTGCAGGTGGGATTCCATCCCAAGTCTCCACTACAACCAGCAATAGACCTTACCAACTAGCCAGTTGGCACCTTGCTAAAGGCACTAGCTTGGTACCAATGCTATAGAACTTGTAATATTATTATGAAGGCAGATGTTTCTCAAAAAAAAAAAATGAAGGCAGAAATTCCCACATAGGTAAAATTTGTATGATATAGACGTCGAAGGACTGTGTCAATTTGAAACAACTGATATCAGCAGCACCTTCTCACCATGATTTGTCTCGAAAAATCATTTATGTAAAAGAGGGGGAAGGTTCTCAGAACATTGAGAAGCTAACTAATACCGTAATGCACGTCCCAAATCACCAATTATCCAACAAAAGATGCAAGAAGTCACATTGCCAACAAAACAAATAGAACCAAAAGACCAGACCGATATAGGATTCCAAAGATAAAGCTTAAAAGCCCCAAATTTCAGGGAAAATAATAAAAAATAAATAAAAGCATTGAAAATAAAAGCAAAACCAAAATAGGCATGGTCTTGGCAAGCAGGGTGGTACCTTGAACTTGGCTTGCTTCAGGATAGGAGCATCTCCAGTGGCTCTAAGATGCACGACAACTACAGGAAAAACAACCAAAAAAAAACAGAAACAGAGTCAAACAGAAACCCTGGCCCTAAGTTAAATCAAAGAGAGGGAAGATTCTCAGATCATCCGCAGAGACTACTTGCCTTTGCGTGCTGAATTCGGGGGCTCTGAAGTCATCCTTTTGAAGGAGACAGATTGCAGCGTTACAGGTTATTCTTGCGCCAGTGTGTTGCAGCATATATGAATTATAGGAGCTCTTTGCTGCGGAAGGGGGCAATTTCTGACTTCTGTGTGGGTGATAATTCTCGGCCCGGCCTAGACCAGCCTAGTAATTTTGTGCTTGGGCTTAGTTTTATATCTAAGCCCGGAAAATTGGGTGCTGAGCGGCGGACCACCGCTGAGCAGCAACCCTGCCTTCTCATTTTGAAAAGCAAAATCGTATTAGACCTGGCAATTAGGTTGGGTGGGTCGGGTTTGGGTTGGGTCAAGTTACTTTGGGTTGATTTTGGGTTGGGTTGTCAAATGCTTGACCCTAATCCTAAATGTTTGAGTTAGGGTTGACCCATGGATCAATTTGGATCATCCTAAAAAATAATTAAAATTAAAAAAAATACATGAAAATTGTCAAAATTAAATTAATTAACCTTAAAATTCTAAATATAAAATAAAAAACTTGAACATTTAACAATTTAAAGAGTAAACAATAAAAAGCAAAGACTAAATAGAAAAAAATTAAAGAATGAAAACTTCCAACAATGTATAACTAATCCCAATTAAACTTGACAAATGGATCAGCGGGTTGACCCATGACCCAACCCAACCCAATCCAGTTTTTTCCGGTTGGGCCAGGTCAGGTTATTTTCACATTCAAGTAGTTAAATATGAGACTCTAACCCTATTTTTTGGGATTAGATTGAGTCGTTTTCAGGTCTGTATTACAAAAAAAACCCTGTAGCAGACTCGTTTAACACAACGCAAGTATGAATAAGTATTAATCATAGATAGATTTACTTCTATGACCCGAAATTAAGGCATGTATCCTTTTTATATAATATAATATAATACTAGGCAAGACCATGGGATTTGTTGTAAGAAATTGAGCTATAAAGAGAACTTTATGTAATTCCTTATGGGGTTAAGTCGGACTAAATTCATTGTAAGCATTATTTTAGTGGTATGTATTATTTGATAAATTTGTTTAAATTTCATTAAACTTTTTTAATAATATTTATTGAGATTGATTATCTAAAAATCGACCTGGAACTAGAATTGTTTATGTCACTGATTTCTGGACCAATGGTTTAACCATCCAATTTGAATGGATGGCCCATTGGAATTCAAAAAAAAAAAAAAATAAAGTAATAAAAACATAATTAAAATAAAAAATGGCTAAAAACTATTGTTTGAGTGAAATAAGTTGATGGTTCGAATGCTCAAGTTAGCAGGTTGTTGATCAAGTCAACAATTTTTTGCAAAGGATCAGTTTAGGGGTAAATTGGAACCAGTTATATAGACAATTTCTGGGTCCAACCATCCGAGTCGATGATGGCTCAAAAACCATCAATTATACAATATAATGTATTGTATAAAATATACAATACATAATATAAAAATTTATTTTTTTGATAAGAAATATAATATTATATATAATATATATTGTAGGTGTCATATTATAATATTTATATATAAGACATAAAAGATAATATAAAAATAATATATTGTACACATTATCGATTAGGGGACTAGTGTCAAGATCAAGGAGGGTTCGATGAATCGGGTTTTTCAACTATTGTTGACATGGACAATTAGAGCATTCGGAAAACCATGCAGGTAACCGTTTCCGTTTCACCCCTGAATTGTTCCTTTGCCAAAAATCGTTGATTGGGTCAACAACCCATTGACCCAGGCAATCAAACCATCAATCAGTTCAACCTAGGCAACATTTTTTTGTTATTTTTTATTTTTTTAAATTGCAATGGATCATTCATTTAGGCCAGACAATCGAACCGTTGGCCCAAAAATCGGTGGCCAAAATAGTTTTGGGTCACCAAAGCTTAGACCAGACAATCGGCCACCAAAGCTTAGGCTTCCCTAAAACCCACTGTAAACCTGATCAATAGCTAAAACAATTTTTTTAATTGAGGCGAGGTAAGTTGGAGACCCAATAGGGGCGGGTTAAATTGCCATCTTTACTTGGGTTTTCAAATACATTATAGAAAAATACAATTGAAAAGAAGAAAGTATGGTTGGTTTTGGATTTCTATAGGGTTGGGTCAGGTTTAGAAACTATATGTCATTATGTCAAGTTCGAGTAGAAGCATTGGAGGATCGGGTTAGGGTGAAGGAAAACCAATACAGACCAAGTTCGAGTTGGTGAAGTGAGCAGAGCCAGAATGTCGTTCAAACGCTGATTTTCAACTCGAAGCTAACCAGTCAGCACAAAAAATGAAGAAAGCTCCAGTAAGTTAGTGATCTCCAATGTGGCCCGACCTGTCAACATGGATGGAATCTGAAAGTCAAGAAAAGTTTTTTGTTGGGCTCTATGCCTGTTTGGCAAGTTCCTTGGAGAGCCAGAGCTAATTAAGATTGTTGCTGAAAAGATCAACGAATGGAAAATCAACTACAAAATTGAGATTCAAACTATATGTAATGGCTACTATCAGATACTCTTTGTTCTAAATCGGATTATGACAATCTTCTAAAAAATGGGCCTTGGATAATTAAGGAAATACTTTGTTTTAGTCCCTTGGAAGGAAAGTTTCAAACCCTTCAAAGAAAAACTTGAGGTGGCTGACTAATGGTTTAGGATGTCAGGCCTCCCTCTTGAATTTTGGTCATGGGATGACTTTGAAGACCTTTTGTCTTGACAATCCCTCTCACTTCGGGTGGGGTTGAACAGCCCATTAGGGTCTTTTATGTGAACATTTTTGACTTGTGCACAAATATTTCAATTGTTTGAAGCAAAATAAAAATGTTGAGGAGGATGGTTAGATCATTGTTAGTAAAAAACGGAACTCATAAGCCAAAGTCCAAAATGGTGGAAAACTGGGCAAACATCGAGAAGGTCAAAGATAAGATGGGGCTGAATAAAAAAAGCGAATTGGCTTAATGCAAGAGGCCAGAGGTTTGCATCCTGCCAAAAATCCTGCAAAAACAAGATTCCTTAATGTTGGCCAAGCAACGATTGATCCAAATGCACCCAAAAAGACTTAACAAAAGTGGTTAAAAAATTCTAACATGAGTAAAACGAGTGACTCAATAAACATGATTCATGACCTAATAAGGTTGAAGAATACCAATAAGGATAGGGATGGCAATTTTCCATATCCCTGATGGGGACCCGATTTCCCCGACCCGATGAGGATTATTTTGGCAGGGTGGGTATGAGGACGGGGATGGGGATTAATAGGAATCCCCGATCGAGGTCAGGATTGGGGAAGGGGATTAAGGCCCCCACCCTGCCCCAACCTCGATTATATGTGTGTGTATACGTGTGTGTTATTTATACTAAATGTATATTATTTATACTATATATATATATATATATATATATATCAAAACATATTTAAAACATTATTTATAATTTAAAAATTTTATTTATTTTAAATAAATTTATTTTTCAAAAAAATACTATTATTTAAAAAAAATTTCAGAGATTCGGGTCCCTATCGGGGATCGAGGACAGGGATCGGGATTAATTTCAGAATCAGGGGCAGGGACGGGGAATATAATCCCCACCCCGAACCTTCCCTATTGCCATTTCTAAATGAGAAACAACTTGCAAATGACCTTGATGGTGGAATAGAGGGGATGGATGAGGATGGAAACAACCTAGAGGGTGAAGACTGTGAGGATGGCGATCTCTTGGATGAGGAATGGGAAAACAAGAAGGTAATGAAGGCCTCAAAAATGTCGAGGAAATCTCAGAGATGGAAGAACAAACATTAATAATTCAAAGAGGTATGAAGAATATGATGGGTCTTAGAAACAAAGAAAACCCAATCCAAAACGAAAGCATTCAACTGGAACATTAGAGGGGCTGGTAGACCCTGAGTTTGTAGACAAGTTATGGAGCTATCTCGTACCCATAAACCTGATTTATGTTTTCTCATGGAAATGAAATTCAACCCGGTTAGAGCAAAAAAATTGTTAACTCAGCAAACGTAAGATTAATATTATAAGGGCAAATGAAAGACTAGTGCATACTATGATTCATGATAATTCTAATGGCAAGTCTTGGTTTTGTACTTTTATTTATGTCCCTCCCAATAGATCAAACCAAAATGTTGTTTGGGATTGGATAAAAAATATAGCAGATAAAATGGCCCTTGGTGCATTATGGGTGATTTTAATAATTCCAAATCTAGTGAAAATAAAAGAGGGGGAAGGTGTGTACTCCCTAGTCAAAAAACACAAGAATTTTAATGAAATGATCAACTATTCTAACCTTATTGAGCTAAACATGATGGATCCTCAATTTACTTGGAAAAATAATTTGACTTAAGAAAAGCTAGATTGGGTTCTCTCAAATAATGAGTGGAGAAGGGAATTCCCGGGTGCTACTCTAACAAATTTACCTTTCCTTGCAAATTGAGAGAAGTTTCTCTCTTGGATATAGGCCTTTTTGGTTTGAAGCTATGTGGTGTCTCGACCAAAGCCTAGAAGAGGTTGTTAATGGGGCCTGGAATTTAGAGGTGAAGAGTTCAACAGCCACTTAATTTAAGGAAAAAGGAGAAATTAGTAAGAGATTTAAAGGACCGGAACAAAGACCATTTTGGAAATATTTAAAAAAAAAAAAAAAAGAGAGAAGAAATTCTCTCTAGATTAAAAGATGTCTAATGAAAGCTTTGCAAATCCAATTTGATAATATCCTAATACGAGAGGAGTTATTATGGGCCCAAAAATCCAGAATTGACTGGATTAAATTTGGGGATAATAACAATAAGTTCTTCCACACACCATGATGACCATAATAAGAAATAGAAGCAGAATATTGGGCATAAAAGATGGCAACGGTGAATAGATCTCTAATACTAATACTAAGGATCTAAATGAATTCATTTGCTCAAAATTTGAGAAAACATTTAGTACAGGAAGCTCAGTTGGTATCAAATGAACTTATTAGTAAGGTTGATACAGAGGCCTTCTATACTCAGAACATGCTACTTCTATGTACTCAACAACTATTCATTTCCAGAAAATAAACTGGAAATAGGGAATAGTATGATATCTCCTTAGAGAGATTTCTGAACTTTGTATCATTTTTCCGGGTTCTAATATTGTTTTGATGTTATTCAAAGGTTATGCAATTTTGTTTTTCTGCATAAAGGTTGTGCAATAGTTGAAGGAAGAAATATAAAAGGGTGCCACCTTTTTTCTCAAAAGATGGCCTTATTTGTATAAAAATATGGCCTTATTTAATTGGGTTAGTAGAATGGACAGTATAAGTAATTACAAAATCCGGACTCAATTTTGATTTAAATTTATATGCTTATAAAGTTATAATACATAAAATTTAGGGTCCATTTGGTTTACAGCCAGAATTGGAATCAGAATCCTTTAGAATCGGAATTGGAATAGTCTATTCCCATAGTTTGTTTGGTTCAGACAGGAATGGGAATGAGAATTAAAATCAGCAGCAATGAGATTTCATTCACATAGTCTGTTTGGCCATTCCCTCAAATGGGGGAGTGTCATTCCAACAGGAATGGGAATGGGATTCCAATTCTGCCTAACCAAATAGTTGGAATCAGAATAGCCCATCACAATTCCGATTCTGAATACCTATTCCTACAAATCAAACGGAGCCTTATATTAGTTAAGTCACTTTAAATATATATATATATATATACAATCTATAAAAATGAGGATGGTGATAATGTTTCATGAAAAGCCTGATTTTTTACTTTCCATTTTTACCCTTGCCATGTTTTGTATTTTAAAGCTTATTTTCACTTTCCGTTTTTACCCTTTATATTATTATGTTTTATTTTTCCAACTTTATTTAATTAACAGTTAATTGTAAACACCTGTAATTGGATAATCTCTGTACCACTTATAAAAATGAGGATGGTGACAATGTTTTGTCAAAAAACCTAATTTTCACTTTCCATTTTTATCCTTTATCATGTTTTTTTATTTTAAAACTTGATTTTCAGTTTCCATTTTTACCCTTTGTTATGTTTTTTTTTATTTTTCAATTTTATTTAATTAACGGTTAACACTTGTAATTGGATAAAGCAAATAAAATAATAATAAAACTGCTGTGAAACTTACTCCTCGCCTTATCTAATCTTCTCCTGAAGTACCTACCTGACGAACCTATATATATACGAAAAAAACTATAATGCTAGAAAGACATGATTCCAGCTTTGACAAATCAAACCTCTTCTTGGCCCAAAGCAGTTCAAATTTCGAGTTGGTTTTTAAAACCTTATTTTACACTAATTCTAAGCCCGAGTTTGGATTTCCGCAGCTTGGCTCAGACTCAGAGCCTGAGAAAAACTCTGGTCCTCTAGCCCAGTCCATCCATCTGGCCTTGTCTTGATATGTTTGGGCTAGACTTGCCCAAGATCCAATACTAATATTGGACCCACCTGGAGCTCAAATCTATCTCTATAAAATTACAACCTGAAACGAGTCATCATCCACGTAAATTTGAACGAATTGGTTATCGTTATTCGTTAATGCTAAAGGCTTGGGCTTGCGGGGCTTATAAAAAAGACAGGCCGTTGGGGTTTCTTCCTCATGTTCAAATTTCAGACGATTGAGAACTATGGCTGCAAGCAAATTGGATCGGATCGGATATTTCCTAGATCCTGATTTGATTTGTTAGTATTTGGATTTGAATCAGATCTTATTCATCGAGTTTATGTTAGATTAGGATAAATTTGGACTGAAATTAGATGTTGAGTGGCACCAATAAATTAAACCAAAAATGGTCACAATAGTACTTTTATTAATGAAATAAGCCAAAAATGAATTTGATATTGTATATCTTCAACAAAATGAATTGAAAATAACTGTATGAAACTTTGATTTGTCCATGTTGGGAGTAAAACTTGATGAATTGTTTGTTGGAGGTTGTCTCTCCTTTATGGCATTTCCAAATTTTGTTCCACTTGCAAAGGTTTTCTCAAAATGTTGTCTCAAGTAGGGGTGATCATGGCCGGGCTTTGCACTTATGATAAGGGGCTATAGCTTAGACCCGGGCCCGGCCTAGCCCAGGGTGTGCCTGAAACATAAGCCCTAGCCTAGGTCTATACGGAGCCGGGCCGGGCTGGACTGGGCCTGATTCCGGGCTAATGTCACTCCTATTATAAAACATTACATATCTATATTTTAAATGATATAACATGCATATAAACTTATTTTATACATTATATAATATAAAATATTACATATAATATAAATTATATGTCATGTTATAATATTTATATATAAAATATATAATATAATGTAAAATAACATGTATACATTATACATTAAAATAACATGTACACACGCATATATATATATATATACACACAAAATATGCAAGTTTAAATATATGTGGGCCGGGCCTGAAGTATTAAGCCCAAGCCTGGTCCTAAAATTTGCAAGCCTGATGTGGGCCCAGGCCGGGCTGAAATGATCACCTAGTCTCAAGGTGCTCATTGTTGCTTCATTACTTCTCAACAAGTTGTCTGTTTTTTTTTTTTTTTTTTCTGGAGTCTGTTTTTTTGGCTCAGTTTGGAAGGAGTACAAATACAAAAATGTAGAGTGCAAAACCTTATATTTTGTATTACTTTGTATTTGCACTGTACATATTTGTATTTGTACTCTTTCCAAACTGAATGAATTGTTCCTACAAGATGGAAGAAAATAAGAAAGGAGTAACCGATGTCTAGGAATGGTGACAGAGGGATGTACCACTCTGAAGAGAGATTGAAAGTTTGATCAAACTTTTAGAACTCTAACTTTCCCCTAGTGTTGGGTCTTTTTTCTTATTTCACTTAAAATTAGTTTCCCATTTTGGAAGACAATAGAAGAGCAATAAAATTTCATTCCTTGGTATAAATTTCTGCAGAACATATATATTGTCCTCATGCCAACCTTTTGTTTCTCATTATTATTTTCTTTGGAGACATTCCATTTAGGCTCTGGTGCATAAGAGGAGGCCATGCCTCTTTCGATGCCTTGCTATAGCAATTAGAACAAGAGCCAGTTATTCAGAGTAGAAACCAGGTGAACTCTCAACCATAACTCACATCTTGCTTCGGTCATGTTTCTTAACCGTTAGTCTCTGTTTTTCCCATTTAATACAGAAACTAGGAATTTTTAAAAATAAACAGGGAAGTAGATGGTGATGCTGACTCTTGACATTTAGGTTGAAAGTTAGGAACTAGTGTCTTTGCCCAGCAGTTCTTCCACCTTCTCTGCACATTTCTGTGGGTATGGTTTGACTCCATTAGACATTTGGATGAATCAACTGTTAGATTAGATATACCAAAATGGGGCCACCTATTGGTTTCTGTGAAGATTTCAAATTTCACAAGGATGTCCATAAAAGGATCCTTCTTCCCTCATTGAGGGTGATTTTACAGGGTTAGAAAGGCAAAAGAGCAATATCATATATCCTCGTGCTCCCATCAAGGTTCTGTTCAAGTAGAGACTGTAGAATCGAAAATTTCATTGAAAGCAGAAGAAACTTGACAACAAAATAGGTCAGCTTTTGGTGTATAGTACCATCGAATTATCCCCAGTTTGGTTGGCTCAGCTTCTGCATTCCATTCTTGCATGCAAAGCATGTTAGAAAGTTTGAAAAGCAACTAGAAGCAGAGTTCAGGTTGTTGATAGCATGTGAACAACTGAACTAGCTTCAGGCAAACCATTCCCATCAGCTGTTTTGTTGTCTTGAAGAACTTCATCAATAAGTTTATTAATGCCACTTCCTTTAGCCTACCAGGAGAGAGCAATAAAACTTTATAAACTATTATTTAAAAAATGAAGATACAGAACTCAAGATTGAGTACTAACCTTTATACCAATTGCTATAGCTGTCTTTAGATTCACAAGTTCTCCTAATCTCAAAGAACCACCTTTCTGATCTTTGACAAAGATTAGTGGGACTCTCCTTGAAGAGGACAAGCTTGGAAGATGCCTTGTCAGCCACCGTGGGTTGCAATCTGAAGCTAACAGTATGGCCTACATCCATGATGAGCAAATTGGAATTAGAGGATCCCATCCATTTATTAAATGCCAAGCAAGTCCAAATGGGTCACTTATAGTATAATTTAGAAAAGAACTTCAATAATAATATCTTGAGTGTATTTGGGTCAATTTCATAGATGATGGACTCTTAAAGTGTTTGTAAGGGATTCATCTATCATGGCTGTCTAAACCTCAATCTTCTAGTTCGGTTCCAAGGTACTCTCATTGCAGATTGGCAGTTCTTTTTTTCTTTTTGGAACAGTGTCTCAGGAAATCAAGTAAAAACATGTTTATAGGATGAGTGAAGCCAAAAAAGATGAATGTTAGGACAAACAATAATAGAAAGAGAAATATGATATAAAATTGTAAATAGTAATATAAAGAAATCACTGGCTGGAAAAGTCTCTAGCTGGTTGTAGCGGAGACCTGGGATTGAGTCCCACCTTCACCTAGCTAGGTTGGGGGGGGAGGTTCTAGGGGTGGGTTTGGGATAGGGCTACCCCCTGTTTTGCAACCAATTATGCCAACCAGTGCCTTAGTAAGGTAATGGCGGTTTCCCTTGTATGAAGAATAGTGAAATCCACATGGCAGCCCTAAAGTTTAGTACAACTGGAGTGCTATGACTGATTTGTAAATAATGCTAGAACTTGTTTTCTCATTATACAGGCAACTGAAAATGGAGATATGTTCTAAAACACAAAAAACTTGATAGACTTTTCTTTTGAGGCAAGAAAATAGCCAGTGGTTTTATTGAAATTCCACCTCCCCCTGGTTCTGTATAACCCAGGTTTAAATACAAGAAGTCACTCAACCAACTCTCCTAAACTCAAACAACCGTCTATCCTATACTTTAGCAATATTCTTAGCCTAGTCAACAGCAACTAACGCAACCAATAGTGAGATATTCCCTCACTCGTTTATTTGACTCCTACTCATTTATTTGACTCATTCTTAAGCCTAACAGCTAGCAGATATGCATGGCCACGCGTCCTGCACTTCATGCAACATAGTCCTGATAACGTGGATTCTTGGCATGGTTCCTTGCTAACCTTCTCCACGTATCATTTCCCCCCCCCCCCTTGAAGTGGAACCTTGTCCTCAAGGTTCAGATTAATGAACTGACTTTTTAACTACTGCGTATTCTCCCAGGTTGCCTCTTCCCTTGGAAGATTCTTCCATTGCACCAAGCTTTCTTCCACGAAGCCCAACCCTTTTCGAAACCAGCGTGTATCCAGTATAGCCTCTAGTACCACTATTACCTCACCTTCATCATTCGTTGGTGGTTAGTCAAATCCAACAGAGGTGTCCTCTCCCACAAATTTCTTGAGCATTGAGACGTGGAAGACAGGATGGATACGGGCACCCTCCGACAGCTCGAGCTTGTATGCAACGCTCCCAATCTTCTCCTTCACTCGGTACGGGCCGAAATACTTGCTGGTGAGTTTGTGGTGGGCTCTTTTATAAGCAGTGTGCTGACGATATGGCTGGAGCTTCTGGGACGCAAATTCTATATCCAAACAGATCAGCGAAGCCTTAAGTACTTGCTTGAGCAGTGCATCACCACGCCTGAACAACAAAAATGGGTTTCCAAGCTGCTAGGATATGATTATAAATCTCGTACAAACCGGGGAAAGAGAACTCAGCCGCAGATGCTTTGTCAAGGAGGTTAGAAAGTCCCAGCCTCCATACATTATATACTTCTCATGCCTATCTATGGGACGAGATCAAGAGAGATACGCAACAGCACCCATATATGGTACGGATCGGTTAGCAAGCTACAAACAAACCCGGAGCTCCATACAGTTGGCGCAACGGGCTGATCTACTATAAGAACAGGGTATTTGTTCCGTCGGATTCTCCAATCGTACCAAAACTCCTCCATGAATTCCACGACACGCCCTACGGAGGTCACTTTGGGGTACTGCGGACGTACAAGCGATTGGCACAACAGTTCTATTGGCCGTCTATGCACCAATCAATTCAAAAATATGTCGCCTCTTGTGCAGTGTGCTAGAAAAATAAATCAGAGACCCTCTCCCCAGCCGGACTCATGCACCCACTACCCATTCCATGTCAGGTATGGGACGACATAACCATGGACTTCGTGGAGAGACTTCCACCCTCACAAGGGAAAAGCACAATCATGGTCGTCGTACATCGCCTAAGCAAGTTCGCTCATTTCTTGCCTCTCTCACCCACACACGGCCAAAACAGTTGCTGACAGATTTATAGGAGTGGTTAAACTTCACGGGATGCCAAAATCTATTATCAGTGATAGAGATCCCATCTTTGTTAGCCATTTTTGGCGTGAGTTTTTCAAGCTGTCAGGGTCCAAGTTGCATATGAGTACGTCCTACCACCCCCAAACAGATGGACAATCCGAAGTGGTCAACCGCTGTTTGGAGCAGTACTTGCACTGCTTTGTATCCCAGCAAAAGAAGAGATGGAACAATTACCTGTCGTGGGCCGAATTCTGGTACAACACTACGTACCATAGCTCAATCGGCATGACTCCCTTCCAAGCACTATATGGGAGGACTCCACCGGCAATTCCACATTACTCAACCGGCACAACACCTGTCCATGAGGTAGACAAAGCATTGGAGACAAGGGACAACATCCTCAAACAACTAAAGTCTCACCTGCAGGCGGCTATTAATCGCATGAAGCAAATAGCAGACTCAAAGAGAAGGGAGGTTGTTTATCAAGAAGGCGATTTTGTATTGCTTAAGCTCCAGCCATATCGTCAGCACACTGCTTATAAAAGAGCCCACCACAAACTCGCCAGCAAGTATTTCGGCCCGTACCGAGTGAAGGAGAAGATTGGGAGCGTTGCATACAAGTTCAAGCTGCCGGAGGGTGCCCGTATCCATCCTGTCTTCCACGTCTCAATGCTCAAGAAATTTGTGGGAGAGGATACCTCTGTTGGATTTGACTTACCACCAACGAATGATGGTGAGATAATAGCGGTACCAGAGGCTATACTGGATACACGCTGGGTTCGAAAAGGGTCGGGCTTCGTGGAAGAAAGCTTGGTGCAATGGAAGAATCTTCCAAGGGAAGAGGCAACCTGGGAGAATACGCAGTAGTTAAAAAGTCAGTTCATTA